ATTTTACGAAAATAACCTCAGCCGTACGTTATGTTTGAAATATTATATTTGGCCTCTATTCGATGAATATGATGAATGTACCTTTTACCTTTTTCGAAGACTATATCAACAAATCGTACGCATTGATGGGGCAATTTAGTAAACATTTTGGCGCTTTAAATTTGGCTTCCCCGGACACTCAATAATTCCACCAATTCTATAGATCTCTAATTTGACAAACAGTAACAAAGTTAACAATTTGACAAACAGTAACAAAGTTAAAACACAGAACCATTTTCCCGGATGATTTTTGGCCTGGGAAGTTTTTATAATTGAGCTACCGAACGCAACATTCTTTGTTCCCCTACCATGCTTTCCCGAGTTTTAAAATAAAAGACACGTACCAAACGCTTTATAATGAGCTTAGCTCAGACATAACCCAAATCCTAATGGAATAAGGAAAAAGATATTTACAAATAGGAAAAAATGTTTGTCCTTTTAAATGACACAACTTATGTCATTTCACTCTCACAAAGAGGTGGGCATCTTTATATTTTTTTGTCCACTCTCTCTCCTCCTTTATCTATCTCGTTCTCTCACTTAAAATGACACAACTTTACATACCTTAAAATGATAAACACTTTTCGTTTACAAATAACAAAGATATTCTAAACATATTCTTTCCAACAGTTTGAATTCCTCTTTGTTACAAAGTTACATGATCAGCACAATATTTCTTATTATAAAACGTTAATTCAACTCAAAACAGCAATTCAATCCAAAAGTTTAATTTTGTAAGTGAAGGTCCATCTATAATTTTTAGATTTCTTCATTATGTTCCTCTACACGAGAGTTCATTGAGCTTGAAGAGTGGATGATGCATCAGACTCAGCCTATTCGTGCTAAGAAACTTTACAATCTTCTTTGATACCAGGTAAAACACCAATTCGACCCAAAAGTTCAAACTTTTAAACAAAACCCATTAATAATTTTTATATTTCTCTTACACTTATCAAATAATTGAACATTCATCAAACATCAGACGATCTAAAAATGTTTGCTATATGTATAGACCTGACATCAAATAATTTGTCATTCATCAAACACGAATACGTTTCTTTTAAAAAAAAAATGCATGTCAGACACAGACAAGCTCCAACATGGGTTCAACACGCGGTAAATATTTTGTGACATACGGTTAATGCTCCGACATGTTCCAACATGCGGTCAACTTAATGCAGATCCAAATTTGCCTAATGACATTTATGAAAGTCACCACCGTCGTTCTCCCTTAATCTCTTGTCTGTCGCCGTCACCATTCCAAGCAGTGCTTCGATCTTCTTCCTCGTATCGTTCTTCTTCCTTGTGAGTAGACTCTGAGCGGGTTAATCGAAACTGGTGATTCTAAGGATTAGGCACTGAGTGACGCAACAAACCAAATCAGATGCTAGAATTATTAGTTATCCTGTAAAATAAAGCACAATAGAGATATGGAAGAAAATGGAGAGATTCTTCGCTCCTCCCAACACTAGGAGTCCAAAGCAGAATGTAGCTAAGTTGAGAAAAAATGTATCTAAGTTGAGATCGTTCGATTGAATATTATCTCCGGCTACAGATGATTTCTTGTGATCCGTGCGCTTTTGAATGGACCAATGGAACGCCATTATTTGTCACTTTCTTTCTTTTATTTGTATTTGTTTGGATTCTTTTATGTGTTTTTAATAGCTTGGCCACGTCATCTTCTTAAGTGGTTGTTTAGCTTGTCTACTACGATTCTATGTGCTTTTAAAATAATAAATTTATTTATTCTTTGCTTTTTTAAAGGAATTCCAAACAAGTTTTGAGTAAAAAAAATATTTTCATTGGTTATATAATTTATTATGGACTGTTATATATATTAAATGTAAACTATATTATATATATTAAAAATATTATTTAATATCAAAATGTATCCTAACGTGTCAAAATTTAACATTTTTTTGAATTAACCTATTTGAGCGTCGTGTCGATGTCAGTGCAACATAGGTTATCCCCGTCTTCTTTTTTATGAATCTCATGTAATTCCTAAGCTACTCCTTATGCCTCAAATATTTTTCTAGTGAAATTGGATACAATGGAAGAAGTACGTATAAGACTTATAGGAAGCGTTTAGTAGAGGATAAATTTTTTTATCTGAGAATCACGATTTTCAAAAATATGGTGGAAAAATAAGTTTTTTGATAATGTTATCAAAAAGTTGTTTGGTAGGCCAAAATATTCTCGGAAATATTGAATTAATTTTTCTGATGCTATATTTGGTTGAATGTAAAATATTACTGAAAATGTGGAGTGATTTTTTGTATTAAATTTTCTCGTCTTCGGAATACTAGAATACCACCTCTGAGTGGTATTCTTGGATGGTAATTTTTAAAAAATGTACACACAAAATAAAATCTTGAGAAAATTAAATTTTCAGAAATTATTTTAGAAATCTCATATCAAACATCAACATCACCTTTATCCCAAATTAATTAGGGTCGGTGGTAAATGAACTCACATGAAAGATACAAAACGGTTGAAAAAGATAAAAAAATAAAAATAAATAAATAAATAAAAAATAAAAAATAAAAAATAAAAAAATATATATATGTATATATAATATATGTATATATAAATAAATAAAAGTAAAAAAGAAAGGGACAAGAAGAAGTAGGGGAAATGAAGGGGAAAAGGACTAAAATGGGACCATCTGGAATATAGGAATAACAACGGGTCTAACCCTATATCATACTTATAGCTTTTCTCCATTTCATTCTAAGACATATCGTCCGCCAATCTATATCCCACTCCATTAAATATTGTTTTACTACCTTCCCCCAAGTAAGTTACGACCGACCTCTGCCTCTTTTTGTGTTGAGCTCTTGGTAACAAACTCCTGTTCTTACAGGAGCATCCAGGGGCCTTCTCATCACGTGCCCAAACCACCTCAATCTATGTTCTCTCATCTTCTTGGCTACCGGTACTACTTCGACCTTTCGTCGAATATCTTTATTTCTTATCTTATCCATCCTTGTGTAACCACATATCCATCTTAACATCCTCATCTCTGCTACTCCCATCTTATGCTCATGTTGCCTATGTGCTAGCCAGCATTCCGCTCCATATAGCATTGCCGGTCTTACTGTCGTTTTATAGAATTTTCCTTTTAACTTAAGGGGGATTTTGCGATCACACAAAAACCCAGATGCACTGCGCCATTTCATCCACCCTGCTCTGATTCTGTGATTTACATCCTCATCAATCTCTCCACCTTTTTGTAAAATGGAGCCCAAGTATTTAAAAACATCTTTTTTGGGTACCTCTTGACCACTTAAATGCACGGGCTCTTGGTCCCCATCTCGTACCAGAGAAAACTCACACTTCAGATACTCATTCTTGCTTCAACTTAATGTGAATCCTTTGGATTCCAATGTGCTTCTCCACAATTCAAGTTTTCTATTAACACCCTCCTTGCTCTCATCAATAAGCACAATATTGTCTGCAAAAAGCATACACCATGGCACTTCCTCTTGAATATCTTTTGTTAGTTCATCCATAACTAAGGCAAAGAGATAAGGACTTAGAGCCGACCCTTGGTGTACACCAACCGTGATAGGAAAATAACTTGATGTTCCGTTACAAGCTTTTACACATGTAGTAGCCCCATCATACATATCCTGGATTGCCTTTACATACTTTGATGGAACCTTTTTATTCTCCAGAACCCACCATAAAACTTTCCTTGAAACCCTATCGTATGCTTTCTCAAGGTCTATGAACACCATATGCAAGTCCTTCTTCTTTTCTCGGTATCTTTCCATAAGTTGTCACATCAAGAAAATAGTTTCCATGGTACATCTTCCTGGCATAAATCCAAATTGATTTACAGAAACCTTGGTATCTCTCCTCAAACGATGTTCGATAACCCTCTTCCACAACTTCATAGTATGGCTCATTAGTTTAATGTCTCTATAGTTTGAACAATTCTGTATATCTCCCTTGTTTTTGTAGATAGGCACAATCATACTTTTCCTCCAAGCATTAGACATCTTATTTGTCTGGAGAATCTTATTGAAAAGATTGGTCAACCATTTTATTGTCACATCCCCTAGGCCTCTCCACACTTCAATAGGGACACAATCAGGCCCCAAGGCTTTATTAGTCTTCATCCTCTTTAAAGCCTCCTTAACTTCATGTGTATTAATTCTGCATACAAATCTTCTATTCATATCATCATACGCGTCCTCCAAGTCCACCTCGCTTGTATCTCCATCCCCATTAAACAGCTTGTTGAAGTAGTTCAACCATCTTTCATTTACATCTTCATCTCTCACCAGAAGTTTTTGATTTTCATCCTTGATGCATCTAACTTGGGTGAGGTCTTTACTTTTCTTATCCCTTATCTTTGCAAGTTTATAAATACCTCTTTCACCATCCTTGCTCCCAAGATTTTTATACAACTCGTCGAAAATCTTGCCTCTAGCTTCTCGCACTGCTTTCATTTTATTTTTTCTCGCCAATCTAAACTTTTGCAAGTTCTCTTCACTGAGACTTTTATGCAAAGATCTAAAGCATTCCTTCTTATGTTTAATTTCCTCTTGCACCTCTCCATTCCACCACCATGTTTCCTTTGTATGAAATTCATTTCCTTTACTTTCTCCCACCACCCTCCTTCCAAAATTTTGAATACACTTAGCCATCTCATTCTATATTGCATTTACTTCTCCATCAAACTCCCAAGGTCCGTCGTGCAACATTCTTTCATTGAACTCTCTTTCTTTTCCCTCCTTAAGCTTCCACCACCTTATCCTAGGGTTCTGAGCCCTCTTCTTCATTGTAAGTACTTTGTTGAACCGAACATCCAAGACTACCAGCTTATGTTGCGTAGCGACACACTCTCCAGGGTAGACTTTATAGTCGACACAAGAAGTTCTATCTTCTCTTCTAGCCAGAAAGAAATCAATCTGACTACGATTTTGGCCACTATGATAAGTGATTAGGTGTTACTCCCTTTTTCGAAAAAAGGTGTTCACTAACATCAAATCGTAGGCTAGTGCAACATTCAAGATATCTTCTCCAGTCTCGTTTCTCGTCCCATAACCAAAACCTCCATGGATTCTATCAAAACCTCCATTGCTTTTACCAACATGACCATTTAGATCTCCTCCTAAGAAAATCTTCTCCTCTCGAGGTATTCCCCTCAAAACCTCCTCCAAGTCTTCCCAAAATTGGCTTTTATCAGTTGGTTGCAATCCAACTTGGGGTGCATAGACACTGAGGATATTCAAGATTAAATCACCCACAACAAGCTTAACCAGAATAATCTTGTCGCCTTTCCTTTTGACGTCCACAACTTTATCTCTAAAACTTTTATCGATCATAATTCCAACACCATTTCGACTCTTGTTAGTACCTGTGTACCATAACTTGAAACCAGTTCCATCCACTTCCTTGGCCTTTTCTCCAGTCCACTTAGTTTCTTGCAAACAAACAATATTCACTTTCCTTCTAGCAAAAACATCTGCCAACTCCCTCAATTTACCCGTTAAGGTTCCTATGTTCCAGCTGCCCAATCTTATCCTTAACCCCTGGGCTGTGCTTGCCCGCCACGCTCGCCCATCTGCGTGTTGGGACCCTGGCATACTTCTCACCAAATCCGGGTGAAGACCTGGCGCCTTGCCTTGGGGCAAGGACCCTAGCCCACTTTTCACTACACCCCGGGCCCGATGCAGCGCCTTGCCTTGTGGTAAGGACCCTAACCCATTTTTTGCTACACCCGGGGCCCGATGCAACGCGTCGCTATGAAGGGTACTTCCCAACGAAAAATCATATAAGTTCATCACATAAAAATATAGCTGTTTTTTACGGCCGGTTCGCAACACCTGACACCAACCCTCCTCCTTTATCTTGGCTTGGGACAGGCCGTGCATGCAAGCACACATGGGCGGAGTTAAATCTCATATAAAACATGGGTAAATAAAATTAGCATCCTCAATTTTTCGAAAATTCTAAAAGAAGACTTCTATGATAGAGAACTTCGATCATTAAAGTTGGGCAGTGTTATGGATATGAATATCATATCCCAACTACCTAGTAGAATATCCAGAAGGATATTGAATCAGTTACATCTCAACAACCTCAAACAACTAAGAGGATATGAGATAAGGTTCACACCCCAACAGAAAGGGGGAATCCTGCTACAATTGGGGGATTTCAGAGGCACAATCCTAGGAAGGTAATCCTATAAATAAGAGCCTAAGAACCCCAGGTAAAGATCCAGAACTCATTTATTACTTCTGCCCACACTGTGCACACACCCACCCCTTGGCTATAAGCCTATTGCTTGTGCGCAGTGATTGGGACCTCGGCTATAAGCCTAGTATACACTTGATATACACTATCTCTGAGCGCATACCTTACGGTATAGCAATACGGTCTATCCAGGACTGAACATTGGCGCCGTCTGTGGGAACCCGTAAATTTCGACTCCCACCCCACGATGACGAACACACGTTCGACGTCTGGAACATCCCAAATGCCGCCGCGTCAACCACAGTCTCAGCCATATGGCATGCCTCAACACCAACCTGCGTCGGAACAGTCCCAATTGGAACCAGACCCGGTGCTGGTTGAGGTACAGGTCGGCGAGGTCGGAACACAAGGACCGACTCCCAGACCCCAGCTGAACGCAACAGTTGCGGCAGTTCGTCAGCCTCCACACAGTGAGCCACCAAACGTGACAAACATGGCCATGGGAGCAATCCTTCAAAGGTTGCAAGAAATGGAAAATAGATTTCTGACCCAGCAGCGTATGGATGCACAAAGGATGGCGACGGTGGAGGCTGAACTGAGGACTTTGAACGCGGAAGGCCAGACTAGGGGAGCCGGAGGGGTCGCAAACAACCGACCTCCCCAACAACATGCGGAAGGCGTACTTCAGAACGCCGAAGGCACCCAGCATCATAACGCTGAAGACCTCCGGCATCAAAATGTTAGTGATCGACCTAGGAGGCCCGACAATGCTGGCGATGGAGGACCGTGGCAGCTGAACGCGGCTCCACTCGAAGGGCACGCCCAGAATGGGCAGAACCTTAACCTCGGTAACAACCGAAATGGTGGTGGGCCGAACGACAACCAGGACGAAAATTATCTGGAGGATGAAGAGGCTAATGATAGCCCATTCGCTGAGAGGCTCATGAACTTGGTCATACCGCCGAGATTCAAAGGCACCAGAATACCTCCATACGACGGAAGTCAGGACCCAGAAGCCCATTTAGAGGCTTTTAAAACCTAGATGCTATTCAACGGGATCACTGGACCTATTAAGGCCAGGATCTTTGCGACAACGCTGACTGGTCAAGCGATGACTTGGATAACCAGGCTCCCTAGGAACTTAATCGACTCATTTGAGGACCTAGCTCGGACCTTCCGACTTAACTTTGCAACAAGCAGGGTACATCCGATGCCAGCCTATGCTTTAGGAAGAATCCGGCAGAAGGAGAACGAATCGCTGAGGAAGTACCTCGACCGATTCAAAGATGTCGCCCTCAAGGTACGCGGGTTAACTGAAACAGTACACCTCCACTTAATCATCTCGGGATTGGATGGCGATTCCCCATTGGCGTGATCCATCTATAAGAACCCGGTGAACGATCTGGAGGGGTTCAGGAGAAGGTCGGATAAATACATTGACGTGGAGGACATGCAAAAGGTTTATGTCGAATCACGAGGACGAAGCCCTACACGTCGGAGCCCGAATAGGAAAAACAACAAAGACCGGGATCAGAAGGGATCCAAAAAAGCAAAGGACACTCGTGATAAAAGGTCGGAAGACCGATCACCAAGGAGGAGATATGATGACTATACACCCCTGAGCATGGCTAGATCAAAGATATGAAAAGAGGTAGCACATACCGAAATGCGCAATGTCGAGAGACCTCGACCTCTTAGAGCCAAGTTCGGGTTAGATAAAAGCAAATACTGCGCATTCCATGACCAAAACGATCACTATACGGATGATTGTTGGGACCTACGGGATGCAATTGAGAAACACGTCAGGGAGGGAAAGTTAAAGCAGTATATCATCCGAACACAGGGCAAGAAAAATAATAAGCGCAAGCAAAGTAGCCGAAGCCGAAGTCGAAGCCCAAAGAGAGAGGATCGAAAGGACCAAAGAAATGACCGACCTTCCAAAGGCAAATAGGTCGATGAAAAGGACGACGCTTTTCCTGAAGCCGAGTTCGAATGCAACGTGATAAGTGGAGCCCTAGGAGGAGGAGGAGACTCGGCCAACGCCAGGAGAAGATACCTAAAAGAGGTCATGACGGTAAGGGACAAGCCAACTTTCAAAGAAAAGGACGGCAAGCCGGCTCCCCCAAGATTGTTCTTCACTCAGGAGGAACTAGCGAGGGTTGTACCCGGACACACGGACGGATTGGTGATCACCGGAGTACTAGTCAACTGCCGAGTCAAAAGAATTTTTATTGACCACGGAAGTTCAGCTGACATCATTCTCTGGGACGCTTTCCAGAGGATGAACTTGGACGAGAAGGACTTGAAGCCATGTGTCACTGAGCTGGTCGGGTTCAACGGAGCGGCGTCCCCTCCAAAAGGCTACATCGACCTAAAACTGACTTTGGGCACGAAGGATTCGTTCCGATCTGGTAGGGTTCGTTTCGTTGTAGTGGACACCTCGTCTTCCTACAACGTAATTATTGGTCGACCCACAATTCATGAATGGGATATGCTGATCTCCACCAAACACCAAGCATTGAAAATGCCTGGGATGAACAACGAGGCCGTCACCATAAGAGGCGATCAAGAAGAATCAAGAAAGTGCTACTACGAGACTCTACGAGTCCACCATGGAAATCCATCATCTCCAACTCGGCTTAAAGAAGGAGGAACCAAAGGCCAATCACTGAAGACGTGCGGAAGAGAGGTCAACTTGGTTGAGCTCGACGTAAGGGAGGAGCTCTTGGCACCTCGTCCTGAACCCCAAGGAGAATTGGAGGATGCCGACATTGCAGAAGACGGCGAAGGACGCACCAAGGTGGGAAAAGACCTAAGCACGGAATTCAAAGAGGAGCTGGTTTCTTTGTTAAAAGAAAACCGAGATGTCTTTGCGTGGAAAGCTTCAGAAATACCTGGAATTGACCCAACCTTCTGCTGCCACAAGCTCTCCATGTACCCCGGTTCACGGCCAGTATCCCAAAAGAAGAGGAAGATAGGGACAGACCGACGTCAGGCATTAAATGAGCACGTCGACGAGCTGCTGGCAGCTGGATTCGTGAGGGAAATACAGTATACCACCTGGCTGTCCAACGTAGTAATGGTAAAAAAGCCAAGTGGGAAATGAAGGATATGTGTGGACTATACCGACCTCAATAAGGTCTGCCCAAAAGACTCATACCCCATGCCAAGCATTGACCAGTTAGTTGATAATTCGTCAGGATTTCAGCTGTTATCGTTTATGGATGCGTACTCAGGGTACAACCAAATTTCGCTACACCCCGAGGACCATGAGAAAACCGCCTTCATCACCGAGAAGGGAAAATTTTGTTACAAAGTCATGCCTTTCGGTCTCAAAAATGCAGGGGCGACATATCAGCGGATGATGAACCGCGTTTTTCAAGGGCAGATCGGAAGAAACCTTGAGGTATACATCGACGACATGATAGTTAAGTCGTTGCAAATGTCTGCACATATAAACGACCTCAGGGAAACTTTTGAGCAGCTGAGAGCTCACAGGATCAGACTGAACCCGGCGAAATGCGCTTTTGGGGTACCAGCTGGAAAGTTCCTGGGCTTCATGCTTACCAACCGGGGAATAGAAGTGAACCCCGACAAGTGTAGGGCCGTGCTCGAAATGAAGCAGCCCGAAAGTTAAAAAGAAATTCAACAGCTCACTGGACGCCTTGCGGCCCTAACCAGATTCTTGCCCAAATCGGCGGAAAAGGCTTTGCCTTTCTTCAAGCTTCTCAAAAAGGAAGCCGAATTCGGATGGGGAGAAGAATGCAAGAACGCATTCGAAAATATTAAAAGTTGCCTGGCCACTCCTCCCGTACTGACCAAACCAGAACCTGGGGAAACGCTGATCTTATACTTATCAATCGGGGAAGAGGTCGTCAGTGCCGCATTGGTACGAGAAAATGACAAATCACAGCAGCCGATCTACTTTGTGGGTCGCGCCTTGCAAGGGCCCGAGCTTCGTTACCAGAAGCTCGAGAAAGTCGCATTCGCACTACTTACCACGGCGAGGAGGCTCCGACCTTACTTTCATAGTCACCGAAATATTATGCGTACGAATCAGCCCATCAGGCAAGTCCTCCACAAACCGGACCTTGCAGGCAGAATGATAAACTGGGCAGTCGAACTCTCAGAGTTCGACATTGCATATGAGCCCAGGCAGGCGATAAAGTCCCAAGCGCTGGCCGACTTCATCCTGGAGCTAACCCCATCCAATGAAAAGGAGAAAGGAAATGATGATTTCTGGACAATACACATGGATGGGTCGTCCAACTCCAAGGGAAGCGGAGCCGGGGTAATCATTGAGACCCCGGAAGGAGTGTCCATCGAGCATTCACTTCACCTGGCCTTCCCGACTTCTAATAACCAGGCTGAATACGAGGCATTTATTGCCGGAATCATACAAGCAAGAGAGCATGGAGCCAAAAAAATCAAAATAATGAGTGATTCGCAGCTGATTACCTCACAAGTTGAGGGAAAATATCAAGCCAAGGGTCCTCTCATGATGAAGTATCTCCACCAGGTCAAGGAACTGCTAGCCGACTTTGACGAGGTGATAATTCAATACATACCTCAGAACGAGAACAATCGGGCCGACATCTTATCCAAACTTGCCAGCTTAAAGGGCCCAGGAAATCATCGCACCGTGATACAGCAGAGCATTTTGGAGCCGTCGTGTGTGATGGTGATTACC